TTTTCAAAATCACATAAGACCATACTATAACATCGACTGAGATAAAGAATAAAATGAAATATTAAAATCAAGATGTATCTCGCTGCATTGCGCGAATACTCTTCTAATAAAATTTAATACAAAAATATTATACAAGTTTTTATAATTACGATTTTTGAAATTAATCATGGAATACATTTATCTCATGTCTTCAAAAGCATGGGCTTGTAGCCCAACTTTTGATATCACTTAGCCCCAATGACTCACTTATCTACTATATCATAAAACATTTGAAAAAAAACTCTTAAAAATCATTTTTTATACATGAATTATTGTATATTAATATATATTACTTAAAATTCAATGTTACAAGTAAATTATGCATAAGTACAACTTATTAAAGCTCCATGTTTGAATTCGTGTAACTAACTGCGAATAAACATAATCAAATAAATGATAAACATCTCATTTTAAAATATAAAAATCTAGCATATAATTAAAATAATTATCGAGTTTTAGTAAAACAATTAATTATTATCTTTATAAGAAAATTATATTATYAAACAAAATTTAAATTACTTCGTTATTGAATCTAAACTAAATTATAAAAAAAATTGAATTAAAAATTACACAAAAAATGAGAAATTTTAAAATAATTAATTTGATACTAATATCGATATATTTTTGTCAAATTCTTATGATATTTTCAAATTTATATTTTATTCAAAAATAAAAAATCATCGTTTTTTCAAAATCACATAAGACCATATTATAACATCGACTGAGATAAAGAATAAATTGAAATATTAAAATCAAGATGTATATTGCTGCATTATGTCATTATCCTTCTAGTCTCTCTATAAAAGAAATAAGACATCATATTTCATACTTTTTACAAAAAAAAAGGGATTTAAGGTTTTGATGCTTAAAAACCCGATCAACGCGGCCAATCCAATTTGAAAAAACCCAAAAAGAACTCAATTGATAGGTAATCTGACATATAGTTGATATAAAGTTAGGTAAAATCACATCTATTGGGTTGTAATTGGGTTAAAATAATTTAAACTCAACCTAACCAGATGAATTCGATGCCTTTATATACTACGGATTTAATCTGATTGTTAAATTATTGATTAATATATATATATATATATATATATTAAACATTAGACCAACTTGTAATTAGCTATACTCAAAATTATATTACAATTTCAACTGTGATTTACTTTCTTATTTGCATGAACTTTCAAGTTTTTTTTTTGAGTTTGTTAGCTTTCTTTGTATGTTTTCAATTTGATTTTAGTTCGTTTAAACAAAACGCTTGGTTATATTGCAAAATGATGTACAAAAGTTTCAATCCGACCAATCCAACCCAACCCACGCGGTTCATTGAGTTGGGTTATTCAAATGCATTCAACACGACTAACCCGGCCAGCCCAACCTGCACGATTTATGTTGAGTTAGGTTGGGTTGGATTAAGATTTTTCAAAACGCAATTATGGAGTTGGGTTGTTTAAATGTCTTCAAACCGACCAACCCAATCCATAAACAACCCTACTAGAGGCAGCCAGGATGTAAGCTCCAAGGTGGAAGACTCTGCAATCTTAGGTGACGATATAGTCATCTTGGACTCACTAGTTGATACCAGTCAACCACGTGAAAGTGAATAGCTCCGAGCAAATCTTCTAGCTTCCCTCACTCAAAAACTAAGTCGTTGAGACATAGGTGTATTGAGAAAATCTTTCTTCAAAGATACAAGACATTCGTTGCTGATCTAAAAAAGGTTTTCTCCCGATCTTTCTTCCCTTAGCACACAAGCACTAAGCAAGTAAACTAGCTTTTTTCTTCCCTTTGTTTTTCCTAAGGGTTGTTTATAAAAATAACCGGTTTACACAATCTTTTGCCACAAAATAACAACATTTTAGAGGTTTTGCCAAAATAACCACCCGGATCGCCCCGTACACAATGGGGGCGATCCCAGGTAAAAAAAAAATTCCTCAAAAGTCGAGATTACTGTTCACCTCGTTGACCGTGTTTGACCTCGCCTCCGGGACGATCCGTACTGTTCACCCGTGTTTTTTTTGTATTTTTTATAACATTGAAGTTGTATTTTTTAACTTTTTTAGAACCAAATTTCATGGGAAAAAGTTAAAAAATAAATCTTTATAATTATGGAGACGCAAAAATTATTTTTCTCTGTGTTTTTTAAACCAAATTTTAACTTTTTTGTGTTTTTTATTTAACAATTAAGGGGTGTTTTTAATAAAAGTTGAAAAATACATAAAGTGTGTCTTTTTACGTATTTAATTTTAAATTTCACGGTTTTTCGTTATAAAATAACCGGATGATAAATGTGGTTACGAAAAAAAAATATTTAATTGATTTTTTGGAGAAAAAATCAGACATTATATCTGATTTCGCGGTTTTTGATGATATGACAACTCTATGACGTCGATTTGACGCCGATTTGACGTTCATTTGACGATGAATTTGTTTTATTACTTAACGTTTTATATAAATTGTACGTGGGGGACCATTCATCCCCACCACCGACCATCCCACCGCCTGTTTTCTCTGGAAAAACCGAGCGAAAAATCGAGTTTTGACCATCCAACCGACCATCCCGACCAATATCGTAGCCATTCTTCGACATACCGTCATAGACTACCGTATAACGACATCGGCGACTTTCCGCCGCCACCGACCACCGTGGTCCGCCGCCGTCGGTTAAGGGTTGTGAGAGTAAAATATATGAGAAAAGAAATGGAAGGGAATGTGTGAAAAATTATGAATTAGGAGGTTGATATTTATAGTGAAATTGGTATTAGAAAAAAAAATCAATTTTTTTTACCCGGATCGCCCCCGGTATAATACGGATCTCCCCGGGAGCGAGGTCAAACACGGTCAACGAGGTGAACAGTAATCTCGACTTTTGAGGAATTTTTTTTTACCCGGGATCGCCCCCATTGTGTACCGGGCGATCCGGGTGGTTATTTTGGCAAAACCTTTAAAATGTGGTTATTTTGTGGCAAAGGGTTATGTAAACCGGTTATTTTTATAAATAACCTTTTTCCTAAAGAGAAATATCCTTGTAGAAAGTTGTAAAGATAACTTTTCTAGGCGGGGTGGGCCACCCACCTTCGAATGGTGTGATAATTTGCCTAGTGAAAAAGTCAGGAAAAGACCCGTTCAGCCCTTGCCGATGGGCTCACAACACATGCAATAAAAATAAATAAAACTCTGATAAATATTTATGAACATTTAGTAGGAATATTTGGTTTCTTGTTTTTCATAATATTTAGCTCATATTCGAATGTAACCCCTTGCTCCCCATAATTTCTGGTGGATTAAAACCGATTAATGGTTGATGTATAAGTATATATATGTAATCATATGTTATTTTGAGAAGTGAT